TGAATGGAGTTGATTTCAAACATCCTTAAGACATATCCCAGCATAAATAGGGCTGTAGAAAAGTTCTTCAGCTTGCTTCCTTCTTTGTATCCTCTGTGTGAGTCTTCCATTTTGCATGTGCTGTCTGCTAGGTGAAGGACAGGACGAGGGAAACAGCGATTTCTCAAGTATCAGCAAAAACTTTTTTTTGTTTTTTTTTTTGTTTTTTTTTTTACAATGGTCTCCAGCTAATCGCTCACTATTCTGTTTCCAGGACCTTTGCCTGATCTCACTGAACTCATTCTGTTCGCCCTTTTCCCCCATGCCCACCTTCACTCAGCTTATGACTTCATTGTCACCTGCACTTGTCACTCAATATGAAATTAATAATTTTTGTCTTTCTGCTTATCACAGTACCTCTGTACTCAGTGAAAGCTCAGAGACCTTGTGAAGGTAAAATCCGTTAAACCACACTACTGCTCACATTTTTCATAGGCAGAAGTACAGCAGAGATTAGTAGACAATTCACCATTTGCTCCTTGACTGCATGTCACCATAACTCTTTTCCATGATGAGCCAAACCCAAACAAGGTTTTGGAATGGTGCTGTACAACGTTCCTGACTTCTGTGTTTAGAGTTTACACAAGTCAAACATAGGCTTCATGCCGGGCACCTAGAAGAACTGTAGTTCTCCATTAGTGATTCTCTGAACTGTTAGGCTGACCTGGGTATTAAGTAGCACATAGGAGTTTACAGACTCCGTTTCTTCATGACAGCTCTCATCTGATCTGAGCAAGAGAGACCCACTCTTTCTTCCCCAGTAGCCTTTGCTTCAGCCATTGAAAGATGGCACCTTCATCTCCAACAGTGAAGCAGGTTTTCTACAGACAAGATTCAAGTATACACAACCTTGATTCCATCTACAGATCAGGTCCACGCTATTTAATGAAAGGCATGAGTCAACAGAATACAGCCACATACAAACTTGTAACAGAGTGTATAGGCATTGGAAGGTCAAATTGTACAAGGACTTCTAGAAGCTCACACAAGGCTTCTAGTATGTTTTACTCCCTTTCCTCAACAACACTGATTGTTCTCAGTGGCAATGCACACCCAGTTACATCAAGTCCAAGTTGTAATTCAGTGACTGACAAAAAAAGAAAAATACGTCCTTCATGATTTGCTGGCAAAATATGCTCTATTTTTGCAGCACTTTAAGAAATTCTTACAAAGAGTTCAGTGAAACTGTTTCTATGACCCTACATTTCAGAACTCTGATGTTTATCTAATCCTTGTTTATCTAATCCTTCTTAGACATTTACCAACTCTCCACATCCATATGAGTGCAAGAATTCTGCTTTTGGTTTCAGTTCAGTGCCAATACAGTGTCTCTGTATAAGGTTATTGCTGTTTTCAATCTCAGGTTGGATACAGAGACAGGTAAAGACTTCCACGTGCTTTTGCAGAAATCCTTCCATGTAGCAGGAATTCTCTGCATAGAAAACATAACATAAGCCTCCACTTCATCATCATCACAGGCAGTATTTGAAAGGCAGCCCTTACAAGGACATTACAAGAGTAAGAACAAGCCTGATTAAGAGGAAAAGTAGGGAAGAATAAGTGCATTAGGAAAGCAGACAATGAATAACTTCCACTGGCATACCAGAACATGATTTAAATAAGACTCTTGCTATTTACCACCTTGATAATGCTAAGTAGCCTCTCCTAACTGTTTCTGCAGACCAAGTAGAAACATCACAAACTTAAACAACAAAAAACCCACAAAAACTAACCAAAAAACTATTTAAAAAAAAGCTCCATAAAAATAAATCTAGTTCTCAAAATATGGGAAGAGAATGGTCCAAGTCAAACCCTTGTGTTTATTTAACTCAGCAGAGTAGGATGGTAATAGGAGCGGGGTTAAGCTTCCAGGACCCACATTTCAGTATTTTGCGCACTGTTAAAAATTAAGAACTAAAACAAATATTGAAATTCCTGCGAACATTCCCCACCAGATTATAAGTATTTTTACGAGGTTAGATCAAGAGCTTAAACTAATTGGTAAGGGTTCCTTTGAGGTCTTTACATTAGTTACTTCAATTAAAAACAACCTTCAGGGCAGAGTATACTTTTATGCACAACCTAAATAATAAGAACAAAACAAAACAAAACAAAACCAACTGCCTCCCTCCCAAATCACCGAGCGCTCAGTAACGGGGGGAGGCAGCAAGAGTAGATGCAAGAATTTCAGATATTTGTTAATTGCCGTTTATTCTATCTCAACAAAAAATATTTTCCTACCCCAAAATGTTTATTTAAGGTCACTGTTTTAAGCAAACCACATTGTGTGGCTTAGGGAATACTCAAGTCCAAAGGTTTTTTCTTTCTGCACGGTGCATTGACCCCTACTCTCATTACGAGCCATAAACGTTTACGAGAGTGTGTCATCAGCTTGCTGAAACAACACATTTTATCTAGCTTTCTGTAGCTGCATATCAACAAACTCCAAGAAAAGTTTTATAAGACAAAATCTTGCATGCTGTCCCTCCACTCCCAAGGCTCTAGGAGAGGAATACAAGGGTTTTTCTTCTTAATCGAGACACAAGCAGAAAAGGTAACGCTGCTGAGACTGCAACTGGTTACAGCACAGTGGAAGACGTATTTACCACCTGTGTGAGGTTGCTTCTTTAAGTAGCTAGTTCTTTAACAGATGTAATAAAACCAAAAGGATTGTGCAAAGGAACTTTCTTATGTAAGGAAGGAAGCTAGTTACAAGAGAAGGAAATGCTACAGAGCTGAAGGAGCATAGCTGATGTTAATTATTTTGATACCAACTCATCTTAGTTGGCTGTATTTCTTGAAATAAGGACTTACCTGTAATAGATCAATAGTAAACACTTCTTCATATTTCCCTTTTCTAACCAGCAGTTGTTTTCGCATTCAGAAATACCCCATCCCTAGCTATTTAATAAAACAAAAAAAACCCCCTCAAATCTAATGTCTGCTAAGAGAAACGCATTTAACATGTTAAAATAAAGATCCTCCTTTCTACAGGAGGGTTTTACTACATTAGCTTCTCTTTCTTCCCCTGACACTCAAACTAATCCTTCAGCTGCACATGGCTTAATTCATCTCAGCTAGCTAATATGCATGTGTATCTTGTAGGTGTTTTAAGCTGCATTTTCAGCTTGAACAGACAACTACCATATACAAGAAAAAAATCCACAACGCTTTCTCACAGTATCATTATGAAGTACACAACTGGTGTTTGTCCAGATGATGCAAAACTGGGGTACATTCCCTTTCTGATATCATTCATGCCTACAGAGGCAACTAAAATGCCTGACTATGGAGACACTATGAGCATCTTCTTCATGGGGTCCAGCAGAGCAAGAAGAGGACCACAGCCATGCCTCCAGTAACCAATCTACAGAACTACAGAAAAGGGGCAGCACTGACAGAGTTTGGGCAACCTTTTTTTTTTTTTTTTTTTTTCTTTTTCCTCCAAATCCTCCTAAGGATGATGTCTCCCCTCGTAATTCTGGGAGCGAAGGTTCGTGCTACCCTCCTCTGTTTGGTCTTACTCAGGCTTTTCCCCCTCCCTCATGAGATAATTCTTAGAGCGCTGTATCTCTTCCCACCATGAAAATGAAATTGTAAATAGTCTGTATTGCCGTGTGGAGCTATGACCTGTTCCAGGGTATTAAAAAAAACTCAAGATAGACAAAAAGAGTTAGATATTTGATCAATAAAGGGGTGTTTCTTAAGAGGCATGAATGTCTCCTGGACTAGTCTATTTTTTCAAATGAAGTAACAGTTTTAATTTTAATAGAGTACTAACCACTTATTTCAGCACTTTTGCAGTAAGCATTTACTGTGCCTAGAAACTATATGTTTACCTGGTGCCTCAAGCAGAAGAAGAGCTACTTAATCTCAGACTGTAGTCCACAGTCCACAAGCATAACTCTTACAAGAGAGCAAAGAAAACAGAATCCAACACAGCCAAACCAAAATCCTACTTACTATAGTTTACTGTACATGCTTACTGTATAAAGCTGACTGTATAAAGTATGTTTACTGTATAAAGCTTACTAAGTTTACTATATCTGCACAGCTTGTATTAGCACCTAGTGCACCTAAGTGCAGAAATCGTTCATTTTTCACTGCACTCAATTTTGAAATAGTTTGGGAACATTCTCTTTGTAACACAATCACCTCTCTAACACTTTCATTTGAAGTCACTAAAAACTCAGCGAAATCCTCCTGCTAAAAGGAAGCATCTCTCCAGAGGTCTGTCCCTTCTTCTCATCATTATCCAGTCTCTGAATGCAGTTTTAACAGCTCAGAGACCATGTGTACTCTTCATTAGATCATTCAACCAGTCACTGCAATGACTTCCTACTTCTGTGTGTCATCCCCTCTTCTTCATGCTCCTCCTTGTTCCTTATTGTGAACACTGAGTCTACTGTTCCATGACAGAAGAAACAACAAAAAACACACCTTAAGAACAAATCCTGTATTACAAGAACTTAAATTTCTGTGGATGCTTTGACCTGAAATTCAAAAGAAAAAAAGAAAGCGGGGGTGAGGGGAAGGACCTAAATAGCATATCTCTTGAAGAACACTGAAGTTTAAGTAGTCATACAAAATAACTTCTTTAACTACAGGGGAAGCACTTTTGCTGTTGTAGTATGCACCAGTCCCTGGTAACTACAATGCTTAAAGAGCAGAGCACTACAGTTATACAATTTTTGACCCTAAAATAGCAAACGTACACATCTAAAGAAAAACATATTGATCAATTTCCACTTAAGCAGCACTCGTGGTGTGTAATACGTTCCCTGTAAGATGCAATTCCTATGCATTGTATGTATTATAAATGTTACTATATGCATAAAGAACTAATGAAAAAACTCAGCCCTAACTGAAGTGTTTTGTCAGTAAAGTTCTGTATACATCAATCATATCAATAGCATTTTTTTTCCAAGTGTTGTTTTTTTTTTTTTTTTGGTACGTCATACCTGAAAGCAGATATACAGAGCTGAAATTCTTCTCCAGTTTGCCCAGGAGCACAGTAAGAAAGCAGTCAGATGAAAGAGAGGTCACATCTTTAGAGCTTTGGTCATACACCACCACTTCCTGCTTGCAATCAATTTCAATCTGAAACACAAGTCATTGAAAATAAGGTATGAGGGAGGAAGATGATTAAAAGCACATTATCAGCTGCATGAAGTCAGGCTAAGGGCTCCTACCTGCTTACCATGCAATAATCCAGATATCTGGATTTCTTAGCTAGCTGTATGCAAAACAACTATTATTTCATACTTAAAATTCCTGACCAAATTTATTTCCTTTGAGTTTTTAAAATTGATTATTGGATCCAACTTGAAGCACACTCTAAGTTTCAATCATTAGGTAATGTCACCTATAAAACGCATTACTTGTGGCTAGTTCCCCCACCCCCAGCTTAAGCTGTTAAGAAAAAGTCCAACTTCAGCTTCTGCTTCTAAGCTTTTCATTTAGAAATAGTAAAGAAACCTTAAACTGCCTAGAGCAATATGCACTTGAGCTCTCTGTAAAAACTTTATGTATAATACATGTTTAGATAATAATAAACAACAGCTTTATTTTTAACCTTTCAAGGCAAAAATGTCATGTGCAGATTACTTTTGTCACCCAAGACATTAGAAACAAGTACTAATGGACTAAAAAAAAAAAAAAGCCACATAAATGCACATTAAATTTAAAATGCTTGGCTATTTTCTTTTCACTAGCTACACTATCAAAAAAAAAAAAAACCACCCACAGCTATTCACATGAAAAGCATTTTAAACAGCAAGTGGGAGCCAGGACTGGCATAGCTACCCATTTCCTTCCAAACTGTACGACCACTTTCTAAGTAATCCCTGGTACCACAGACCCCAAAGTATCCTTCAAAGTTTAGAATGTGACTGTTTAGTGCATTAATGACATACATTTAAGGGACTGTACTTTACAACACTTACAAGCAAAGTTCTTTCCGAGTAATTTCCAAGTCCCAATGAATTACTCTGTCATGTAAGAGAGAACAGCGCTACAAAGAATGCTAAAGATAAACTTTCTAGTAACTGATACCCTCTTAAATCAGGTAAGCTTGGCAAAGCCAAATCCCTCAATTGTGTTTATTAAAACAAAATACTGAAGGGAAAATTATTACAAGTTGCTTTCTAGGCGCTCTTTAAAACAAATACAAGGAATAACAGGAAAATGACTTCTACCTTGTGTTTTGCTGAATGCTGAATGAGCTCTGTAATCAAAACTTTGTCCTGCTGCAGCCTCCGCTTCATAAGCTTGGAGCAGTTGATGTTGATGGCATCCAAGATGTGGGATGTATTGTATTCCACAAAGGGGCGGCTATCAATCAGTAGCAATTTTTCTGTACCGCTCTCCAGCAAAGCCACCAACTTCTCAGCGACAATGAGTTGAGTCCTGATCATCTCATCGGCCATGACAACAATAAGGCCTCTTTTACCACCTCCCTCTCTAATTTGCTGCGATGATGTAATGGCTGTGTACTCAAAGGCTTAGCCACACCATTGTACTAGAAGTGTATGAGGTCATGCTGGTAGTGACTGGCAAAAGAAAAGTTAAACCCATTTTCAGAAAGAGCTCTTCAAATGAATGTCTCCTCCTGCTTCCAGTTGATGTGCCATTACAAAGGGTTCGTTCCACAAAACAGTCCCTCACATCTGATTCATCAGGAGATGACTATGGAGTGGCCATTTCACAATTCAAACAAAAGATGCTTTCTGGCTGCCACTGCATTACATCATTCTTTACCTTTGCTCCCACCCATCAGCTTTGCACCAGACTAAGAGCCTGTAAGAAGGGAAAGATAAAAAACACAAACTAGATGAGGCCCTGAAAGTTTGCAGCACAATATATTCAACTTCACGACTTAGTGCACAGTGGTCTGTTCCATATAATAAATACACTTCTGAAGAGTTCCCCCCGCCTTTGCTGTATATTCCAAAAGTCTAAGAGATACTACTTGCAACTACAGTCTCTGAATCTATTCCAACAATCTTGCCTGTACAATTATCTTGAATTTCAGGCAACATACCCTGTCTTAATTGCAGACTTTTGTTGCCACTAGCTCTGCCTCTTCACAAGACTTCGTTAGAATATAATTAAGAGATACTGCCCTAAATCATGGCATTCTTTTCAATAGGAAAACTAATTGGATGTGTTTCTGCACTTCACCAGCACTAGTAAGAAGTTGTAAAATTTGTTGGGATACATTTTTAAAATTTAATGCCTTGAAAAGTGTTTCATAAAACAGCACTGCATGCCTGGGAACTGACACTGTGCAAAAGTAAGGATGAAACTTATATCCACCTCTCTCCTTTGGGAATATGGTTGAAGAGAAACCAGAAGAACAAGATGCTACATCAGAATAAAAGCATTTTATTTGAATTAATCACTAGATATGAAACAGGAGCCTCATACACACTACTGCAACGTACAGCATTAGGCACTTTCTGGCCCTGCCGGAACAACTGGAACAGTTATATGAGGTGCACTACACTTTTCCTACATGCTAAATAATGTCTGAAGCAAATCATACTTTAGTCACATTAGATGCCAACAGCACCTGAACCACATCAGTCTAAACAGCATCAGAGGCACAGGAATAAATCAACTAGCTGAAATGCTTCACCATCTGTATTACTGTCACACAGCCGACCTCAGGCTTTTCAGAGTCTCCCAGAATACACTTTCATGGAAGACATATCAGGGGGGGCGCTCTTCAGGAAGGAGCCACAGTAGGGCTCGGTCCCCAGGAGATTTAGCTGTAGTTCAGTGCACTTAGTGCTGCAGCTACAGATACAACAGGAATCATTAGTCAATTTGCTTTGCTCCCACAGCTCAAAACTTGATCTCTTAGTGCAATCCAGCATATTTACAGCAGTCCACATATGGCTGCAAAGAACAACTCGGAACAAACAAAAGCTACACACATTCAGCTGCCTTGATGATGGACTCTGGCAAGAGGAGACCACTGAGCGTGGTGAATCAACCAAGGCAACAGAGCTCAAGAGTTGGAGCCTGTGTGCGAAAGCATGAAGCTTAGAGAGTTCCTCACCTACTTGATGCGGCACACTACTTACAAACCAGCAGTCTGGGCTCAGATCAGTACACAATACAGCTGATTCAGCAAGGAGCCACATTCATGTGTTTCACAGCATAGTGGTCCCTTTTCTTGCTCAGGAAAAGGGATTTTAGGTCAGTAAAACTACGAAATACACCTCTTGCACTACACCAATTGCATATTCAAGCAACTCCTGGATCAGTTCTGGCCTACGCCATCTAACCTATGACCCAAGCAGCCTTCTTACCTCCACTTTTTATTGGTTGGGACAAAGCAAGACAACTCAAGTGTCAGAACACTGAGGCAGGCTGGTGGGGAAAGGGGTGATAAAAACAAAATAAAGGTCCAACTGATTGACACTCTTCCTTAAAGCAGTGAAACACTTGCAAACAGGAGCAAGTTAAGAGGATATGCTTTCCTGAACACTTAATACACATTCAAGTACAAAGATGAAGATTTTGTATATTTAAAAGCCATTAAAAAAAAAAAAAACTTAACTCCTCAGTTTAAGAGATCACCTGAAAAACATACAGTGTACTTCTAATGCTGAATAGCTGGTTCACTTATAAATGTGAGAATAAGGACAGTTCTGTACTCCACTCAGCAATAGTGCATGCATCTTGACCCCAGGTACTAGAAAAACCCTTCCAGCTAATCTTTAAATCGTTTACTATAAGTCTTATTACAGTAACACATCACTTGTGTTTAGCAATGGGAAATCCCAGGTCAGCAGGTCTTCTCATTCATTAGATGAATTATACAAACTTACATATACAAAAACATAAATTAAATTCATAAAAAGTATAACCCTCATTTTAACAAAAATAATTAATCTTTAAAAAAAATGCAGAAAACAAAATTAAAGAAAACTTGCTCCACGTTCTGAAGAGAACAGAGTTTCAGTAATAACACGAGAAAAATGGCAGCACATGAACAGCCACTGGGTTGATAACATGGGATTATCTGCTTGCCTTGACTCACTGCTATACAGCTAGCAGCCTCCAGCGCTTTTTAGCCCTGTCCAAACTGAAACACATAGTACTGATGTGCCAATTACTTTAAATTAAAAAAGACCCTACACCAGTCCTTAAATCTATTAAGAAAAAAAAAAAAGAAAAGAAAAAAGCACACACGCCTATCTATGCAACCTGAATGGCAGCTGTGTTTCCCCTCAAAAGACAGTCATTATACAGAGGCCTCAGGCTCTCTGAAGACAGGCTGGGAGGTATCAAACGATTGCATCGTTATGGAAGGGAAAAAAAACGTTGAAACTTGATAGTTGTGTCCAATTTCTTCCAGTGAGAGGAAAAAAAACCTACATTTTTTATTTCTCTTAACATGCCCTGTCATGAACTTGGATTCTTCTTTTTGCAAAGGCTGCCAGATACCAAGCCTACTGAAATGAGTGAAAGCTTTTCCAGTGGCTATAGTAGGAATTGGCTCTAGCTCTTCTATGAGCTAGACAGTTTGGTCATGAACTAGACAGTCTGTTTTGATGGGTAAATTGCTGACATAAAAGTCCAAGTATCAATAGCAAAATAAAGCAGCTGAGAAGCGAGAAACTACAGAATTCTAAAACGGAGGCAGATAAAAGAAAAAGAGTAATCTTTAATTTGCAACTTTAAGTTTGGGACATTTCACAACTTCCAAACTCTTTTTGTTTGCTGTCGCAGCCTTTATTCTCTTCTGATAAAAGCTTCTTCTAGAGGATCCTCAAAAGAACTCAAACCAGTCACATATGGTGGTTGGTAAAGAACAAATTTCTTAATGCAAGGCAAGTTGGCTACCAATCAGAGTCCTTTCAAATACTACTATTACCTTAATGTTTCACTATGTGCTAACACAATGGTAAGTTTCTAGAAGCCCTCTGCCCACGGCCGGAAAGCAAACTTAACAGCAATGTCGTCTCAAATTATTGTGATTGATAAACATTTTGTTCCTCCCCTCCCCACCAACGGGGCTATTTCTGCCAAACAGCATTCCATTAAAAATTTTTGCTTTGTTTTTCTCCCCACTGCTTCTGTTACTATCAGGCTTTCAGACTTTTTCCTGGGAACCTACCTAACCAAGGGAAACTGGCAGTCCCCTACTTTAGGTAAAAACTAGAGATGAACAAATTGAGAAGTACACAGATTTTAATCTGAGTGTCTCCTCTTTCCTGGCAACTGCTCTAATCACTCTGCTACTAAGAGGTGCTGGAACATTTGTTCCATTTCCAATCCAAGTTTGCGAATTGGCAGAATTGCAGTTTCTTGACTGCTTTCTTTCTGTGCTCTACTTGTGACTTAGATCTCAATGGTATGTATTGACATCAGGGTGTCTCACAAAATGATGCACTATAACACTTTGCCCTAAAGAGGCCATTATGTTGCTGATCTTCAAGCTGATCTTATTCACAGGATGTTCTACACTGAAATCAGCATTAAGGAAAAGTGAAACGTAATTCAGCCACAAGAATACTGCATGAAGTCACCCATGTACAACTCAGCAATATTGCATGGCTTCTTCCTCACTGTAGGTAACAAACATGTGGCACTGCTTGTTACTTACTTTTGTTTAAAAGAAGAAAATTAAACTTTTAACTCACTGTAAAACTAAAATGATTTGTGTCCAACACCTGCCCAGTATCTTTACAGTTTCTCAACTTTGTTTAAAGAACCAAAACAACCAAAACTCCATCTATGTATGATTGCATGCTATCTTCCATGCGAACAAAACTGGATCCTCTAATACTTACATATAATACCACAGAACTACAGTTCTTTCTTCCCCTCAAGGATCCTTGCCCCATTCCACAAATGACTCAGATGTAAAAGAGAAGACAACCACATAACTGAGAATCTGGTACTTAAGATGTTGCACTTGATTCTTCAGTCAAAATAATTCACATTTCGTATGCAACCCTTATTTCTACTTCTACCATCCTGAGTTCAAGCTATTCCCTCACATTATAGAATGATGCTTACTTTAGGTATCTCAGGCTTCAGCTCACATTACAGCAGTTACTTTTGAAGAAGTAGATCTGCAAAGAACGTGTGTCATAAACCCTCAGAATTATGCTCTAATTCTTCCTAGTTCAAAGAACCCGTAAACAGCTTCTAGGAGGTTTGCCACAATCTCTGAAAGATCTCTAGCTCACGTAAGAAAATAACCTTGAAGTTGAACCTTGGTGTCATAAACACTAAGCAATTTTGTTCACAACGTCACTAACGCCTGTTTTGCAGGTTTCTACAACAATGCTCCCTCACCCATCTGTGCTGCATGACAAAATGCCAACAAAAGGATTTTGCCACCTCTGAACATTAGAAGCTCCTGAAGGGAGACTTTTGCATACACAGCTTGAGACACCTGAAAAAGAGACTATTTTAAAAATCATGCATTATTCCACTTGTTAGAGAGGCAAACACATGCACACGCAAGGAAAAAAAAAACACAAGACAAAAAAAAACCCCCCACACCACCACAATATCCTCCCTGTGACCCAATTCACTTTGAAGTTTCTCAAGTTGGACAACATGGAAAAAATAAAAAACAAAAAACACCCCAATAGCTGAATCAAAACACTGAGGTAAGACTTCCTAAATTGCAGTATGCATGTGACTGCTGGCACATCAGCTGCTTCAAAGGAGTATTTGGCTTCAGTATTACCGAGCTGGGAGCTGCCAGTGATTTAATATCTTGTGCCACTACCATCAGCACCAGTTCCCACCACTACAGCAGCATGTGGTCCTCACCAGCAAACCTATATGAATTCCTGCATCAGAGAGGAACTCATAACCTAGACATCATAGGGTAAATTCCCACTCCTGCAAGACACTTTCCCCCCTGCTCAACATCTATGATACCCAAAGCATTCCCTCACCAGCTTCAGAAAGATTTGAAATAAAAGCTGTCCAGGGAAGAAGCTCATGACCAGAGCTATTAGAGACTGGCTGATGATCAAAAAGACAGAACGCTGAATCCCTGCAGGTTGCTACTCATCAGCAGTGAGAAGCACAGTGTTTAAGGAGCATACGGGAAACGAGATTGGTAGTGAAAGTGAGGAATGACAAAATTCTCCCTGAATTCAGCAAGCAAACCAATAAATTCCAGGGGCCAACAACAGTAAAGTGTAAAATCTAGGAAAAAAATTTAATCAAGGTTACAAGAAGTCTATGCCTTACGTGCCACTACCAAAGTAAGACCAAAGCCTGTATCTTATGTGCTTCAAAGCAAGACCACAGAGGAGTGAGATTACAAATGCCTGTGATTTAGAAGACAAGCACTATTAACACAAGATGTAAGGGTTCAAGTTCCTTAGAACAGGGCAGGGAGGGTGTTTCCTGGTTTTTCAGATGACTCAAGTAGCGTCATCATCTCCTAAGCACATCATTTCCTCAGGTCAGGTGGCAGATGCCAGAACAGACTTTCCCCCTCCCTCCCTAGCACACTGCACATTGGTGTGACAGCAGAGAGCAGCGAGGAAGCTGCTCAAACAGAAAGCTATCAATGTTATTTGTAAGTGTCCCTGACATACCGTGTTCATGAAAGAGAAACAGTTTTGAGATTTTTACCCTGCTCTCCTGTGCTTATCCGTATGATCAAATTGCCTGCTCCTTCCTGTCCTATTTTCAGTGGATCTGTACTCTCAATCCATGTAAGCAGCCAGAATAGAATAGTGTTATTTTCTCTCTCTTGTAAAAATAGCAGTCACATACATTTTAGATTATACACTGTGCATTCATGATAAAGGCACTGGAAAAAAAACATGAGGGGGAATCTTCTGTTCAGTGATCTGCTGTCCTTTATTCTACTTGACTAATTACTTGCTCAGTTTTGATTACTTTCTAAAGAAAAGTCCCTCCGTTTCACTCTGCTCACCAGTCGGAGACCTGAGACACGTAGAGACAGTCAGAAAGGAAATAATCAGTTTTCCATGAATAAGCTGCAGAAAGATACCTCCAGTTTAGATTAAGCTCTTTCTTTGCTTCTACATCTATTTCTCAGTGTCATTTTCACCACCAGCACTCTCAGATAGCTGAGCTAAGCAAGAGCAGGTGGAGTTTCCTTTTTAGAAAAGAGCCTGATATTGCTTACTATACAAATAATGGTATTAGAAAAAAGATAACCTGTTCACACACTAGATAGCCTATTCTCCTGCCCACAAGACCACATTCTGATGTCCTACTTAATATACCCCTCCATGTATGTGCAATGCTCTTGCAAATCTCAATCACGTACCATCACTAACTCATTCCAATGAGCCAGATCATCATCACTTGCACCTACCAAGAAGCCAACCTGTTTGACACTCACTGTGGAATAATAAAGGTGTATTATGTATTATAGCAGACAAACCTGATTGTAACAATGTGAGCTCATGGGAAGCGTTAGAATATGCTGTTGGTACATTACATCACTCAATATTTAACAGCTCACACACACAGTTTATTCTGGGACTCCCTTCTCCACCCATACAAGCAAGAAGATCTTTACATTTGAAAGTATTTTTTTATTGCAGGTTCACAGCATATTATTCTGTGACATCTAGAACAAAAGCTTACCTAATCCACTCGAAATAAATGCTATATAATACATAACACTTGTAGTTTCCTACTGCCTGTGACACTAGACACTAGGAAGAGTTGCAACAGATTTTTAAAAGATCATTCTCCCCGTATGACTTCTAACTCAGAGCAACTGAAAATTCTGGAGTTGTTTTATGTTAATTCATTATTGTCTCATGCCAAAAACAATTACTCACCTGCACTTAAGTCAACTCCTAAATAGGCTGAACAGAACAGAAGGTGGTCCACATACAGAGGCCAGCAGAGGGAAACACCTAAATACAGGAAAAATAAATAAATCCCTTTATTACAAGTCAAAAACCAGAAGATGGATTTCACACTTTCAGTGTAGTCATTTGGGATAAAACTCCCTCAAACACATGAAAACCTAGCTGAGAAGAGATCTATAAAAGCTAGCATTCAAGCAAATGGAAAGAGAAAAAAAAAACCAAAAAGTTATACTCATTTTCTAACCGGGAAAAAAAAAAACCCACACCCACAGTAGCCTTGCAAACAATTTGACCCATCTCCCTCCTGCTGGAAAGCTAATCTTTAACTAACATTCACAGATGATGCATTTGCGTGAATTCAAGCAACTCTGACCTCACAAGTTCTTGTTCAGCATCTATTAATAGAGGAGTTAGCCAAAAGTCAGTCTGCTTACAGTCAGTCAGTCTGGAAGTGGACAAAGGCTAATGACAGAGAACATTTTAGGTAATTGATCCCACCTTCCCATACACTAAAGAAAAGCCCCAGCCAACACTGGAAACTGGATGCTACTAGTCATTACACATAGTAATATCTGTTCAGCCTCTACACAAATTGCCACATTACTACGTGAATAGATTAAATTATAACCTTTACATGAGGAAGTAAAAATAAACACATTAATGTCAACTCCAAAGTGTTTTCTGGGCAGTTAAACAAGAATCAAATCATCACTAATCAAGAGATGACAGCTCTGCTTGATCGTTGTACCATAACCACATAACCGCCAAGTACTGCCCTATTACGAAATCCAGGTGTGGCTCTGAACGACACAGTAAATGGTATCAAATCAGGGAGAGCCACCCCAGAAGAGGGCAGAGCATAGCATAAAAGATTCAAAAATTGACGTCATCTCAGAAGAAAGAAAGAAAGGGGGGGAAAAAAAAACAGACAAGAACTACCTCGCTGTCTTTGGGTGACTACTTTAAAAGCGTTGCAAAAGTGAACAGCAGAACGCTGGGCTACAGTGGTTCAGACAGAAAATTAAAGCATTTTCTACCCAGTCTATGCTCCGCTCACTGGGATGGACACCCCAAACTGGGCCCAGACCACGTTTCTCCTTGGGCGGTTTCAGGCAGGACACAGCCTCCCACTTCTCTGCCACTAACTCATCAGCGCACATACACAAAGATCAGCGGGGCAGAGAGCTGAGCAACAGCACAAGAAGCTCTACTGAAGGCCGCGCCAGATCTGCATCTCCCCTGCCTGCTCCGGCTGGCAGAAATCCGAGAAGCCCTGGGAGAAGCTCTGCAAATCTCTCTTGCTCCTTCCCTCAGTACTGCATCAGGGCCCTGGCTGGCTGCAGCGGAGAACGAAGAGAAAGCTCTCCCCGATCGTCTTTACCGCATGCCCTTTTTCCAGTCCTATCACTGGAAACAGAAATAAACCCTGTGCCTAATACACATCAGGTTCTGCTGCGAGACAGAAACGCCAGGATCAGAGACCATGTTGCAATCGTCCAAGGAGACGAAGTCCTGGGACATCCCCTGTTTCGCTCCTTAATGCTTCACGCACAGTTTCTAGAGCCTCTCAGAGAGCTGCCACACAGTCTTGGCATTCACCTGTGCCACTCAACCATGCCTCTCCAAGCCCTCACAAATAAACTAATGACCACCTCATGGAACTATGTAATATTTATATTTTCCCCACTTTAATGAAGAGAAAGACACCAGGAGTTTAAAGCAGTTTCCCAAAGTCTCCATTTTGCCATTAGGGGGAATTCAATCTGCTGAAGATCACAGGAGAAACAAAGCATATATTTAATTTCAACACATTTACTGAAAGGAGGTGTCTCATTTTTAGAGCAAGGCCTACTCATGACTGAGGACTGCGCTGCTACAAGTTCGGCCATAAGCATTAAGCACATTTGGAAATTCCCTGGCAATGCTGCTAAAGGAACAGACATTTCCTGTAATTTTCAGAAATATTTTATATCTCCCCTCCTCCTTTTTAGCCTTGGTGGTAAGAAGGGGGAGGAAAATAGAGGATACCATATTACAATTAAGTGAAAGGTGAATGAGCCACCCAAGTTTGAAGTGGAAACTTCAGCAATTCATGCTTCGGAGAAAGAAGAAGTGGGGGGAGGTGGGTAGGAGTCATTCATCATTAACAACCCAGGATTTTTCTGCTGACTTTAGGAAAATAAATACACATCCTTTCAATTAGGGTGAGTTAGAAAAAGATATAAACTTGCCTTTTCCCTTGACTTCTGGCAAATAAGCACTCCTCCAGGCCTTTTTAAATACCTTTTTTCTATTCTCCAGAATTACAAATGGAAGCTTTACTTTCTCTTTGCTCTTGCTCAAGGCCTTCCATAAACTGCAGCTAAAGGAAGCCAGCCAGTCTTTTCACATGGAGCATCCCTCCCACAGCTACGCAGAGCAGTGGTACAGCAAACAAGCCAGAAGCTAAGGAGAGACTGAACTTCCAAGCATGACAGCATCCTTCTAAGGCCCTTAGCACCTTTCCTTTCCTAAAAGTTTAATCCTGTATGTGGTATCTGGCATAAAGCTTATTAGCTTGCTTAACCAGAGTTAGCAAGCCTTACAACTCTAGGTAGTGCAAGTCTGAAGAGCTCCCACACAAAAGCCCATGTATGTCTTATGTCCCATACTGTTATGGGAGATAAGAATTTACAAACTGTCTTCAAACTGGGAGGTGGGAGGGCAGTTCCTATCTTTCCAATACATGTCACAAATGTCATCCTGTTCCTGTACGTGGGATGCAGAAGATCCACCATTTAGTTGAAGAACATGGAGAACAGGAGAGGTGCCTGAGGACTGGAAGAAAGCCAATGTCACCCCAGTCTTCAGAAAGGGTAAGAAGGAGGAGCCAGGAAACTACAGGCCTGTCAGCCTCCCCTCCAGCCCTGGAAAGGTGATGGAACAGCTCATCCTGGATGCCATCTCTAAGCATCTGGAGGACAAGAAGGTGATCAGGAGTAGTCAGCATGGACTCACCAAAGGGAAATCATGCTGGACCTATCTGAGAGCCTCCTGTGATGGAATGACTGGCTGGGTAAATGAGGGGAGAGCAGTGGATGTTGTCTACCCGGACTTCAGCAAGGCTTTGGACACTGTCTCTCATCACATCTTCACAGCCAAGCTCAGGAAGTGTGGGTTGGATGAGTGGACAGTGAGGTGGATTGAGAACTGGCTGGATGGCAGAGCTCAGAGGGTTGTGGTGAATGGCGCAGAGTCTAGTTGGAGGCCTGGAGCTAGCGGTGTCCCCCAGGGGTCAGTCATCAGTGACCTGGAGGAAGGGACAGAGTGCACCCTCAGCAAGCTTGCTGATGATACTAAACTGGGAGGGGTGGCTGACACACCAGAAGACCGTGCTGCCTTTCAGAGGGGCCTGGACAGGCTGGAGAGGTGGGCGGAGAGGAACCTCCTGAAGTTCAACAAAGGCAAGTGCAGGGTCCTGCACCTGGGGAGGAAGAACCCCCAGGTGCCCCAGGACAGGCTGGGGGCTGACCTGCTGGAAAGTAGCTCTGCAGAGAAGGACCTGGGGGTCCTGGTGGACAACAAGTTGAGCAAGAGGCAGCAATGTGGTCTTGTGGCCAAGAAGGCCAATGGTCTCCTGGGGTGCATGAGGAAGAGTGTTGCTAGCAGGTGGGAGGGAGGTGATCCTGCCCCTCTCCTCAGCCCTGGGGAGGCCTCACCTGGAGCACTGTGTCCAGTTCTGGGCTCCCCAGTACCAGAGAGACATGGCACTACTGGAGAGAGTCCAGCGGAGGGCTACAAAGACGATGAGGGGACTGGAGCATCTCTCCTCTGAAGAAAGGCTGAGAGAGCTGGGCCTGTTCAGTCTGGAGAAGAGAAGACTGAGAGGCAATCTCATCAATGCATACAAGTATCTGAAGGGGGATTGTCAAGAGGATAGGGCCAGACTCTTCTCCATGGTGCCCAGCAACAGGACAAGAGGCAATGGGCAGAAACTGAACCACAGGAAGTTCCATCTGAACCTGAGAAAAAACTTCTTTCCTGTGAGGGTGACAGAGCACTGGAACGGGTTGCCCAGAGAGGTTGTGGAGTCTCCTTCTCTGGAGATATTCAAAACCCACCTGGATGCTATCCTGGGAAATATGCTCTAGAGGGCCCTGCTGGAGCAGGGGGGTTGGGCTAGATGATCTCCAGAGGTCCCTTCCAACCTCAACCATTCTGTGATTCTGTGATAGTTGTGACAATGGACAAATTCTGAACCTGCAATTCCTTATCAGCACCTGTATTTTAACATTTGATTCCAAGACCCAAAATGCATCTGAAAGGACTGAACTTCTTTATAAAACCTCAAGCCCTTGCAATTCCAATGTCTCCTTACTCTTTGTAGAGCAACACTTCTTTTACAGCAGTCTCTTTCATGGTACCCAGGTTTCCGTCTACTACACGGGCTGAATCTACTGAATCAACTAACAGTGCTCTGCAGCTGTGCAGATCAATATAAAGTGACTTCTCCATTTTATACAGCCATATTTTTGCTAAGAAATAAATTAAAATGAGGATGAGTGCTCTGAAGAGAAATGCTAAGTAAGCATTAAGCAAAGCAATTCCAGTAGTTCGTGCTACTTCTTTAAAAAGCCTTCCATGAAAAAAAGATAAGAATAGGATCCCAGAGTCTTAGGGAACGGTTAGCCTTTAAAGTTAAGACCTTTTCTCCAGTGAGAGACTTTAAGGTGGAGATATTCCAAGAGAGTTGATCGAATAATATGGGCCTATAAATAAAGGAGCCAAAAATCCCCCTCCCCCCCCCAAAATGAAAAGCAACCCTGATCTCTTTTGTGGTCACTGTACAATGAAAATAGAAGAACGGATCTGAAGTCTGCATACAACTAGGATGCATTAAAGGCAGAGGATAATGGTGATATTTTAGTACAGAAACAAATCAGAATAGCTTCTGGGCAAGGCAGGAGTGTATTTCTTGCAATAGGCTTTTTAAATAATTCTTCCCTAAAATTAAATCAGTTGACTAAAGATCACAATGAGCCGATCTCCCTTAAGGATAGAGATAT